TTGGGGGGTGTATATTAAATAAAAAAGGGTAAAAAAAAAAAAAATAATAATGTTTTATGTTTTCCCATTTATGTTTTGGGGTGGTGTGTGGTGGGTGGTGTGTTGTGTGGGTGGGGTTTTGGTGTTGGGTGGTTGTGTGTTTTGTGTGTGTTGGGTGGTGTGGGGTTGGGGGGTGTGTGTGGTGTGGTGTTGTTTGTTGGTGTGTGGGGTATTTTCCCCCTTGTTAATTATGTTGTTAGTATTGAAAAAATCTTTCTACAATATATTATTTCTGGTAATTATATGTGGTATGTGTACAAATGCCATACTACTCACAAAAAAGTGGTATTGCATAGGATGTAGTTACATGGTGCTAAAAAATAAATTAAATAAATAAATAAATTAATAAAACAGACATAATAATTGTAGAGTGTAATGTCAATTTATGTGTTTATCTGTTCCGCTATATATCAGAAGATTGGATAGAATATTTCGACCACGAATAACGCCTCTGTTCTAGAGAGAGGAAACTAATCATAGTGAAGTTTTTTAGTAAGCTTTCATTGATATTCTTGGACCACTTTTTCATATTATTTCATCTATAGTTATTTTTCCGAGTATATATATATTTAGCATATACTTATACGCGATGAGTGAGACGAAAAAGGCGTTTTAATTGATATCTTCAAGGCGAAGGTCGCGGCTTTCCGGACCGGAAGGGAAGGGAAAGTATGTCCCTGAATGCATACTATGTATGGAGGTGTATATGTACAGCAGCCATACTAGTGGATTGGTGTTCTGCTTTGCAATTTTAAACACATACCAATATAAGTTTTTTAGATGTGTCATAGTACTGTATTAAATGACAACCCTCATTGCTAGAAATTTTGCTTTGAATTATATCCACATCTTTCTTTCAATAAATAGTATTTTGCTATTTATATATGTAACATACACAGCACACAAACAACACACCACACACACATACACAATATTATATATGTGTGTGTGTGTGTGTGTTGTGTGTAGATCTATAAATAGATAGGCACATACATACCTAAATATTATAATATATTATATATATATATATATATATATATATATATATGTGTGTGTGTGTGTGTGTGTGGTGTGTGTGTGTGTGGTGTGTGTGTGTGTGTGTATGTATGTATGTATGTATGAACAAGCACATAAACACATAATGCATACATATATTTACAAACACACATTTACACACACACACACACACACACACCACACACACACACACACACACACACACACACACATATATATATATATATATATATATATATATATATATATATATATATATATATATATATATATATATAGTATATATATATATATATATATAATATATATTATATATATATATATATAATATATATATATATATATATTATATATATATATATATATATATACATATTTATACATGTGTATGTGTATACAATATATGTATACATAAAAATACATACACATTACTTTATGTATATATATGTGTATATATAATATATGTATATATATATATATATATATATATATATATATAATATATATATATATATATATATATATATATATATATATATGCATAATATATGTATAAATATATATATATTATATATATATATATATATATATATATATATATATATATATATATATATATATAATGTATATACAATATACATATACATATATAAATATAAATGTGGAAATATATAAATTCTAGAAATATAAATTCACATATAGACATACATACATATATATTATATATATTATATATATATATATATATATATATATATATTATATATATATATATATATATATATATATATATATATATATATATATTGTTGAATAGTGTGTGATGTGTGCACACATATACAGTGTTGTGTGTGTGTGGATGGGTGTAAATATATGTGTATAACGAAATTGGTATTACACTCCAAAAAGACATCCTGAATATTAAATGTCAGTATTATGACTTATTATTATATTCGAATTAGCAATTCATTCATTCATTTAATTCACATATTATTTCAAAAAACAGGCTTTTCAGACTTAATTTCGAACTATGCATCAATATCTAGACCAAGGCTTACAAGGTTTAGTGTAAAATGATGAAAAAAAAATCAATCATTCCACATTTTTGCATTACATAAGAAAGAAAAATGGAGAAATATAAGATAAGAGAGAATTTAACTATTGTGATACATCCATACACTCGTGTGTGTATGGGGAGCTGTCTACATACACATAAAGGCAGAAATAATAGAATAATACGCAGATAGTATTTTTGGAGTTTGTATCAATGTATGTGTGCGTCTGTCCGTTAAAATCTAAAGCACATGATCCCTATGCAGTACGGCAGAAAAGGCGCAGATTTAGAGAGAATCATTTTTCGTAAACACACTAGGACCTCATTTCTACTTCAGAATATTTTTCACCAATGATGAAGTTGTTTTAATACGTTGCTGTTATTTAGTTTTCATGAAGAAACATTCCAGGCGATTCTTATGTCTCTTTCATTTCCTTTTAAAAACTATTATTTGTTTATGATAAAGTTTGCACTCTTTGACTGTAGAACACTATGTAAACTTGCCAATATTTGTCAAGTAATGTGTAGTCTGGCTAACATTTTTTACTTTGTGTTAACGCGGGAAAAAATATATATTTTACTAGAATTTAACTTTTAATAAATATTTATCATATTTTTAAGCAAAGTTCATTTAGGCGTCGGCTGTGGTGGTCTCGTAGGTAGGAGCGGTGTGTAGGTAGGTGTAGGCTTGTAGGCAGGTGCGGGATGGTAAGGAGCTGGCTTGTAGGCAGGTTCAGGATGGTAAGGAGCTGGCTTGTAGGCAGATGGTAAGGAGCTGGCTTGTAGGCAGGTTCAGGATGGTAAGGAGCTTGTAGGCAGAGCTGGCTTGTACCCTCGGCTGGCCTCGCCCTCGTAGCTGACCTCAGCCACGTAGCCGGAGTCGCCGTTGACAGTGTAGGCGACCTTCTGTAGACGACCGTCGGGAAGGAGGACGTAGTAGGATCCCTGGGTGTCATAGCCATCACGGGCCTCCTGGTGACCGAAGTCGTTGCCGGAGTAGTCGTCCTTCACGGCGTAGTTGAAGTCGTACTTGGCAGGGGTCTGCAAAAGTTGGTCGGAATTAGAAAACAAAAACACACACCAGATACCCGCATATATAATGTAATTAATATATTATCAATTTAACTCTCAATTTTTTACAAACCTCGTAGGCAGGCTGAGGAGCATAGCCATAGCCTGGTTGAGAAGGAGCAGAGGCAGCAACGGCCACGAGGGCGAGGGCAACGACAGCCTAGAAAGAAGTAATATATATTACGATTTCTTTTCTTTTTTCACATAAACATGCCATAGCTATTCAAAACACGACACCACTTTCCATACTGAAAGTATCGATTATCACTTATCATGAATGAGAGTTAGCGAAGTTTCTAATCTCACCTTAGTGAACATGTTGGAGGTAGAGACGAAGTGTGATGCTCCAGTCATCAGGCGAGTCCCTTTTATACCTTAGTCCGCGAGTCTAGTAGTCACGCCCCTTCCTTCCGTGCGACCTTTACCTTGAATTATGTCCATCATCTTCCTTTCCATAAATTCTGGGATCTCTAAAAGATATTTAGCACTGTATTGATTTTAGATGCCCTGTGCATATATAATTAGTTGATTTAAGGGAAACAAACTCCAGAAGCATTGCAAATAAAAAAAATATTATAACTGACGTTACAACAAAATAATACGTTGAATGTAGGTCAGTTGCATTCCTCACTCCGTTATCTTACTATCCACATAGCATCTGGATTTAAAAGAACATCTCATGTTTATTTCTATAATTCCCAGAATTTCTTTTGCGGCTAAGTAGCGATTTCCAGACTAGAGTCTTGTTATGATTATAATATACATACATGTATACATGCATATAGTATATATATATATATATATATATATATATATATATATATATATATATATATATATATATATATATATGTATGTATATATACATATACATATATATACATATATATATATATATATATATATATATATATATATATATATATATATATATATATATATATATATATATATATATATATATATATACATATATATATATATATATATATATATGTATGTATGTATGTATGTATGTATGTATATAACAATATATATATACATATATATACATATATGTATATATATGGACATATCAGTATATACATATATACACACACATACATACACATATACACAAACAGACACACAAATATACACAAACAGACTCACATGTATGTGTGTATATTCATATAGACTACAGAAATATATGTGTAAGATATATATATATATATATATATATATATATATATATATATATATATAGTATACTATATATATATATATATAATATATATATATATATATATAGTCTATAGTCATATGATGTTACAGTTGAGGAAACTATTCAATTACTCATGACTGGCTCTGCTATTGTAGAATCAATCTGAATAGTAGACCAAAAATGTTGAAAGTATATATACACACACATATCTATCTATCTATTATCTATCTATCTATCTATCTATATCTATCTATATATATATATATATATATATATATATATATATATATATATATATATATATATATATATATATATGTATATGTGTACATATTGTATATATATATATATATATTATATAGTGTGTGTGTGTGTGTGTGTGTGTGTGTGTGTGTGTGTGTGTGTGTGTGTGTGTGTGTGTGTGTGTATATATATATATATATATATATATATATATATATATATATATATATATATATATATATATATATATATTATATATATATTATTATGTATATGTAATATATATATATATATATATATATATATATATATATATATATATATATATATATATATATATATATTAATATATATATATACAAACATATTATATATATATATGTATATATGGGTGTGTATAAGGGAATATGTGTATATATATATTTCGTCACCACGGGTGGTCGATAAGAAAATCAGACCGGCTAAGAAGATGAATAACAAGTTCAAGGCGAAGATCCAGAATTAAGGGAAAGCGTGCCTTTTATATTTTGTGACCGTACGTTCATATGCATACACGTACGTATCTATGTGTACAATGTGCATAGTAACTGCCATGTTCAGTGAGGATTTTTTTTTACTGTAAACGATATAATCCATGACGATATTTTCCATGGCTTCTACTCATTTAGGCAACTTTGCTTATAGGTTAGATATTGACTTTATGAAGTGATATATCTTAGCCTAAACATCTGAAATGTTTATTTTAAATCATATATGGGAGACTGAGATTAATTATGTGTCTATGTCATTGCATTTGCTTCTATCATTTTTTCGATTAAGAAGAATGCATATTGTAGTACTGTTGAACGCATCATAAGTTATCATATAGGCAGTCCAAGTAATTTGTAGAATTAAAAACATTTTTAACATGGGAATGAATAGATGTAAATAGAATTTAAGTTTAATAAATATTCATAATGCATATTTAATCGAAGTTCACTTAGGCGTAGACTGGGGTGGTCTCGTAGGTAGGAGCAGGCTCATAGTAGGTGCGGGCTGGTAAGAAGGAGCAGGCTTGTAGGCAGGGGCGGGCTTGTAGGCAGGGGCGGGCTTGTATTCGGGGTACTGGGCCTCACCCTCGTAGCTGACCTCAGCCACGTATCCGGAGTCGCCGTTGACAGTGTAGGCGACCTTCTGCAGACGACCGTCGGGAAGGAGGACGTAGTAGGATCCCTGGGTGTCATAGCCATCACGGGCCTCCTGGTGACCGAAGTCGTTGCCGGAGTAGTCGTCCTTCACGGCGTAGTTGAAGTCGTACTTGGCAGGGGTCTGGAAAAGTTCCACGACGTTAGAATTATACAATATCAACACATTATTACTGTAGTAATACCAATTCTTTGCCAAATCTAAATTTTCAAGATTTTACAAAACCTCATAGGCAGGTTCAGGTGCATAGCCATAGACTGGCTGAGAAGGAGCAGAGGCAGCAACGGCCACGAGGGCGAGGGCGACGACAGCCTAGAAGGAAAAGTCTTGTATCACGAGTTCCTGTCCTTTTATGGACACCAATAAATCATTAATATAACATTTACATCACTTTTCATTGCAAATCTGATTTCAGAGCTTTGTTTTTCTCACCTTTGTGAACATGACGAAGGAAGACGAAGTGTGATGCACCGGTCATCGAGCGAGTCCTTTTTATACCGAAGTCCACGAGTCCAGTAGACACGCCCTTTTCCTTCCTTTCCTCCGTGCGACCTTTACCTCGAATGGTAGCAATTATCTCCCTTTCTATAACTGACCATCCCGTCATCTTTATGAAGGAATTCTTTGTAGTATAGTGTATGTACACAATACATATGAAGAGATTCTAAACCGTTGTTAAATTTTACTACATTAAGGCATAGCCGTTTATAATGCAGTAACGAAAATCAATACAAATGTTGAAAAGAAATATACTGTAAAACCAAACAAATAAACAATGTAATATGGTGTCTCTACAAGGTCGATTCAGGGTTATACTGACATAGCTATTCGCAGTTCAACTACTAGCCAAGTTTGAGAAGTTATGCATAAAAATCATATGTGTATAAATATATATGCATGAACAGAAAATGTGTAGAACTTCTTTTAACACCGAACATAACACTTGTTATTATCTTTTTATAAATAAAATAAACAAGCATATAACATATGTATATGTATGTATGTATATATATATATATATATATATATATATATATATATATATATATATATATATATATATATATATATATATATATATATATATATATATATATATATATATATATATATATATATATATATATATACAAACACACACATATAGTATATATAGGTATGTATATATATGTATACATATCGATATATCTATATATTTACATGCATACATACCCAGACACATAAGCACACACACACACAAACAAATGAGTATACACACACACACACACACACAACACACACACACACACACACACACACACACACACACACACATATATATATATAGATAGATAGATAGATAGATATAGATAGATAGATAGATATAGATAGATATATATAGATAGATAGATATATATATATATATAGATATATATATATATACATCTATGTATATCTATAATGTAGTATGTGTAAGTGCTTGTGCACACATACACATATGCATACACCCCCATATATATATATATATATATATATATATATATATATATATAATATATATATATATATATATATATATATATATATATATATATATTATATATATATATATATATATATGAAAAATAAATTCGGATGTACATTGCAATTAGGAATTAGATAATCTAGGCTATCAAAGATTTAATGTATGTATGATTTGATTACTTTTGAAAGTCTGGTATTTGCGAAAATAAAGTAATCTAATATATATATATTATATATATATATATATATATATATATATATATATATATATATATATATATATATATATATATATATATATATGTATATATATATATATATATATATATATATATATATATATATATAATATATATATATATATTATATTCACAAGAAAACGAAGTCGGATTAAGTTCCAAGTGGAATTCCGTTCTCAACTTATTATGATTTTTCCTCTTGGCTTCATGCTCCTACTGCCGAGGACTTCTCCACGTTACCCCGTATGGATGTTGCATGATGTATGGTGTGGGATCACATCGTGCATGATGTCCAAAGATTCTTCTAGCGTTTGATGTTCTTGGCATGCATAATCATATAACCTATGTCTATCAATACATACATACTGTATATATTCTTTATCTCTTTAGATCTGTGTATCTTTATATGTGTGTGTGTGTAAGTGTGCGTGTGTATGGGTATACGTGTGTGGTACATGAATATAAATGTGTGTGTGTGTGTTGCTTATGCGTTGATATATACATGGACGCACTTAGACACCCAGCCATACACACGCGCATATGCATGTATGTATTCAAACACATGCAAACACATCCATTCATACATACTTCTGTTCATGATACTACTTACGTAAGTTTCTCATACACTAAGGTTAAAATATGATACAAATGTTTGTATCTGGAATTTTTGTTTAATAAATATTCATCACATATATATCCAACTTTGTTTCACTTAGGCATAGGTCGGGGCTGGTTCGTAGGTGGGAGCAGGCTTGTAGGCAGGTTCAGGATGGTAAGGAGCAGGAGGGCAGGCAGGGGAGGTTCAGGAGGATGGTAAGGAGCGGCTTGTAGGCAGGTTCAAAGGAGCTGGCTTGTAGGCAGGTTCAGGATGGTAAGGAGCGGGCTTGTACTCGGGGTACTGGGCCTCACCCTCGTAGCTGACCTCAGCCACGTAACCGGAGTCGCCGTTGACAGTGTAGGCGACCTTCTGCAGACGACCGTCGGGAAGGAGGACGTAGTAGGAACCCTGAGTGTCATAGCCGTTACGGGTTTCTTGATGACCGAAGTCGTTGCCGGAGTAGTCGTCCTTCACGGCGTAGTTGAAGTCATATTGGGCAGGAGCCTAAAATGAAAACAAAATAATAATGATAATAGTTCAGGGTTAGTATAAACAAGGAAAAATAATGTGCTAGGAATACAAAGAAAATGCATTCATCGGTTGTTCAGATACCTATAACCATATACGAATTACACTTACGTCATAGGTCGCCGGAGGAGCATATCCGTAGGAAGGCTGTGAAGGAGCAGCCAGAGTGACGGCCACAAGGGCGAGGGCGAAGATAGCCTGAAAGCAGACAGAAAATATTAGATTGCTGGAAAGACGAAACGACATACTTGCGTAATTCCAAACGAAAAGCAAATTCAAATCCTAAAAGAAGTCCTCGTACCTTAGTGAACATGATGGCGAAGGTGAAGGATGTGATGCGTTCGACTCAGACGAAGTTCCTTTTATGCTCTGTGATTCTCCCGGTCCCTCCCCTCCGCCACGCCCCTTTCCACCCTCTGACCCTCCTTCACCTTGTGAGGAGCGAAAGCAAGTCGCTTACTGTAATTACATGCGTCCGAAGTGTAAGTAATTAGGGTCTGGGCCGATGTTAATTAGTGCAGTTATTCCCACCTTCGCCACCTATGTCCCTGCTGGGTCATCAATCAATAGATAGAAGGTAATTAGCAGACTTGATACTGCTTATCGATGATGTATAAAACGTAAGCTCGCACACAGAACACATACAGCATATTCATGTATATACGTATTTGTTTACCAACTTTGTCTTTGTATATATATGTATGTACATGTATATATGTAGATATACAAACATACACCTACGCACACACACACACATACACACATATATATGTATATATATATATATATATATATATATATATATATATATATATATATATATATATATATATATATATATATATATATAGCATGTAATTCCCTGATGTACACCCTTTTGTATAGTCTATCATGAATGTAATGGAATGGCATACACCAAATACCTTATAGGCTAATATATATATATATATATATATATATATATATATATATATATATATATATATGTATGTATGTATGTATATATATATTAACTAATAGTGTCAACATACACATACATACAGAAATTGGTATTTAAAAACTCGCAAAAAGTGATTTTCGCGCTTGTAACTCTATATGTGTCTCTCTTTTAAAAATGGAGAGGACGTAAGAAATATATGGGCCACGCAAAGTGCGGCGCCGAAAGATGCGATTTCAGGAAACGTTTGAAGCAGGACCGAATTTTTTATCACCCTGTGAGGTTGATGTTATGAAGACAAGTATCCAGACAAGGTGAAGGTGGGTCGGATTTGTGTGAAAAGCATGTATCACAAGTGTATCCGTATATACATGTATGTATGTTTTCTACCATGTACAGTGTGCATAGCCGCCGTTGTAGGTCTATAGGACTGCGCATCCACTGCGCAAATCCAAATAAATTGTAATATTAGGAAAATGTTCGTTGCAACACTTCAGTACATTTCACTGTCATTGTTCCTATTTCGAGCAACTTCGTGTGCATGCTTCGTGAAAAAGTGAGATATCAAAATAATCATTGGAAATCATCATATTAAGTTATATACTTATATACTATGGCATTGGTTAATTCATGTGTCTGTTTTTTTTTTTTTTTCCTATTAAAAAATCTCCAGTACTTCCAACTTTATCGATAATATCAACAGACAGTTCGAGTTCCGTGTAAACTTACTAGCATTTTTTGTTTGGATAGGAATAGAATATAGTGTCACTAGAATTTCATTTTAATAAATATCTATCAAAATATTTTAATCGAAGTTCATTTAGGCGTAGACTGGGGTGGTCTCGTAGGTAGGGGCAGGTTCGTATGTAGGGCAGGCTTGTAGGCAGGTGGGGATGGTAAGGAGCTGGCTTGTAGGCAGGTTCAGGATGGTAAGGAGCTGGCTTGTACTCGGGGTACTGGGCCTCACCCTCGTAGCTGACCTCAGCCACGTAGCCGGAGTCGCCGTTGACAGTGTAGGCGACCTTCTGCAGACGACCGTCGGGAAGGAGAACGTAGTAGGATCCCTGGGTGTCATAGCCATCACGGGCCTCCTGGTGACCGAAGTCGTTGCCGGAGTAGTCGTCCTTCACGGCGTAGTTGAAGTCGTACTTGGCAGGGACCTAAAACGGTAACACAAAATCATCATATAATACTAGATTTCTGGTCATAATATATTGATACTTTACTAATTCATTCATACTATTGTCAATTCTCAATAAATAATGATAATAATAATACAAACCTCATAGGCAGGCTGAGGAGCATAGCCATAGGCTGGCTGAGAAGGAGCAGAGGCAGCAACGGCCACGAGGGCGAGGGCGACGACAGCCTAGAAGAGAAGAAATATATCAGATTACAAGTTATTTTCTTTTTCTGCGCATTAACACAACATAAGACACATTAACATGAAAATAAACGCTACTATTTCATAATAAGCAAGACCGATAAGATTTGTTACCTTAGTGAACATGATGGAGGAAGAAGAGTGATGCTCCGGCCATCGAGCGAGTCCCTTTTATACCGAAGTCCACGAGTCCAGTGGACACGCCCCTTTCCTTCCTTCCTTCCGTGCGACCTTTACCTTGAGTTATGTCAATCATCTTCCTTTCCATTAATGAGTACTCTACTACTACCACTATGTGAATAGAATTTGGCGCTTTAACAAACGCTATATATCATAAGTTGATTCGGAGTAAATGTTGAAATTCACACACACACGATATATATATATATATATATATATATATATATATATATATATATATATATATATATATATATATATATATATATATATATATATATATATATATATATATATATATATATATATATATATATATATATATAGCAAGTGTGTGTTTACATATTCACTGCCGCCGTAGCTCAGTAGGACTGCAGCGCTTTAATTTTAGATATACTTGGCATCATTAAGTCGTTTGTTTAATTTCTTAAATTGTATTTTGACTACTCCACAGACGAAGTAGTCACAGCCCTCTTTCTTGGTGAAATTTAGCTTGGATTATATCCACCATCTTCCCTTCTGTAGATAGTATTTTGCAATCTGTAGAAGCAATTTCTCATATGTAACACACAAACAAACACACACATGTATATGTATATGTATACAATATATATATGTATAGATAAATATATTTACATAAATATTTATATGGCTAAATATACGTATACACGCACCCATACATACATATAGTGTGTATATATATACATATATATATATATATAAATAATGTATATACATATATATATATTATATATATATATATATATATATATATATATATATATATATATATATATATAAACATATTTATCTACATATATACATATTTACATACATATATATATATATATATATATATATATATATATATATATATATATATATATATATATATATATTATATATATTATATATATATATATATATATATATATATATATATATATATATATATATATATATAATATATATATATATATATATATATATATATGCATCACCATAACCCCAACACACACACACATATATGTGGTGTGTGTGTGTGTGTGTGTGTGTGTGTGTGTGTGTGTGTGTGTGTGTGTGTGTGTGTGTGTGTGTGTGTGTGTGTATATATATTATATATATATATATATATATATATATATATATATATATATATATATATATGTGTGTGTGTGTGTGTGTGTGTGTGTGTGTGTGTGTGTGTGTGTGTGTGTGTGTGTGTGTGTGTGTGTGTGTGTGTGTATGTATGTATAAAATTCGCATGTATGAATGTCTGTATGTATATGCTATTATTTCTATTATAGACCAAGAGCAA